AGCATCAACTGGCTCCGTGGTCTCAAGGATTCCAAGTTTGGCAGTTTGCTCAAAGTCTTCTCCAAAAATCCACCCAGTTGATGTTGTATATGCCTCTCAACCTGCTTGGCTTGCACAACCTGTAAGTGCTTTTGTAATCTGCGGGCACGGCTCTCAATGTCAGCCTGTCGCCGCAGTAAAGCTGTTATCCTTGTGTCAGAATCTAAAGCACTGAAGAGAATGGAAGACAGGGGAGACTTTTTACCCTCTAATTTGACACCCCCCAAGTTAGAGCTGGAGTCTGTACCAGGTGATAACCTACTGCTTCCTTGAAGTGCCGGCTGTTCCATGGAATTGACAGAAGATTTGTTTGCAGTGCTATTATTGCTATATAAAGTTGTGTGTTCTACATCAAGGCTTCTATGTGGAAGAGTGCAATTGGTCATACCCCCCTTCAAGTCCCCAGATTCAGATCCTCCCACTTCACCCCCATGAAAAGCAGATGAAGTGAGAGCCCGTTTTCCCCCATTGAGGGAAGTGGAATTGTCATGATCAGAATGTGTTGAACTTTTAGTCAATTTCTTAGCCAACCCATTTACAGGTGCTTGTGGCAGAGCTGTTTGACCACTCGTATTCATGGTTCTAAGATTTTCTAAGGAAAACTCCAAAACTGGCTGTCTCCCCAACAGCTCAGCTCGGAGTTCATAGGACTGAGATAAGAGAGGATGAGATTTAAGGACTGTCTGCTTGCTGAAGACCCCTTGCAACTTCAAAGACTCCTTTGAGGGAACAGATGTTACATCAGAGCAGAGATAAGATGCCACCAGTGGTTGCAGCTTTCCCAAGTCTTCCTTGGTAGAATTATTTCGGAAATCTAGGCTGGGATCCTCTGCAGCAATGGCTTTTCTTTTGGTTCCGTTGGCAGCAATAAGGATGTTGGCGTTGCCGTTATTTTCGGCACTGCCAGGGGACAAGGTAGAGGACGGGGGAGCCAGTTTGAACCGGATATGGTGTGCTTCTGCTGCTGCGTCAGTGAGAGCGGGCGCCATCGCAGCCATTCAGCACAGAGAGACAGGAAGTCCAGCCTCTCCCGATGCCGAGGCCGAGGCGGAGGCCAGCTCCACGGCCCCTTACTGCCTCCCCAGAGAACAGACTAGAAGAGAAAGGAGAAAAGAATGTTAGAAATACAAGCACATTTAAAAACACATATATTTTTAACAAAAGCACTACTTGAGTGCTGTTGTCTAAACTGCCTCCAGAAAGAAAGCACTCTGGAGCTAATTGTACCAGTTATTCGAGAGACCCAAGTATCTTTCAACTGAAAGAAAGGGGGAGGCAAAATCCCTGCACAAGAGAAAGAATTGCACCCTTCTTCTTGTCATTTGTTACTACAGACTGAAAGTTGCCAAAACACAAGTTCGATTCAGAGAAAATCACAGATTGTTAAAATTAAATCATCTGCATTAAAAAAAAATCTTTTTGTTGAAATAAATGGATTTAAAGCAAGACACATCAAACTAAACAATAATTAAACAGAAAAAATTAGTATGGAATTCCCGTGTTCACAAAAAAAAGTATG